AGCCTCCAAGTTCCTCCATCTCCAACAGCCCTCCCTCCCCCTGGCCCTCCCCTGCCCTCCTCTCCCCTCCTCCTGGGGACCATGAAAAGCAATTCCTGGCTGTTTGTCAGCCCAGATCTGGCTTTGAACCACTGACTCCGGACAGACCTCCATCAGGGCAAGGCCCAGTGGGGCTCAGGACCGGGGCTAGGCTGTGGTGATTGACTGCAGCGAGCACCACCCAGCCCGGCGTGGTGGTCTGAGACGGGGAGGGGGGAGAGCAGGGAGGTGTCAGGAGCAGGGAGGAGGGCTGAGGCAGTGGTGCTCAGCCAGAGAGGCGTTTCAGGGGCAGGCCTGAAGGGGTGAGGAGAGGTTTAGGAGACCACAGCCACCGGAGAATACCCCCCCACCCTCACCCCTGCCGCCAGCGCCATCAGCATGCTCCGTGATTAGGTTCTGCTCTGAGACAGGGTGGGGGTGGAGCGCCCCGTGGGAGAAGACAGCTTAATGTTCTCAAGTGTAAAGCCGGGGAAAACAAATTGCCGCCCCGAACCCTGCTCAGCCGGTGCGCCTGGAATATCAGTCACGGGGTGGGCGGGGGACACGCCGCCCCCCCTGCTGCGTGGGGTGGACAGGGCAGCGCCTACCTCTCTCAGCAGCCCTTCCAGGGCGGCCCGGTACTTTTCCAGCTGCCTGGAGTTCGTCCTCATTCCAATTTCCACGGGTGCAGTCAGCTGTGAAATAAGCCGGCGTTAACAAGGAGGGAGAGGAGAGGAGAGCACCGTTAACCCCCAGCTGCCCAACAGGTGGCAGCAGGGCCCCCTGGGAGGCGCCTGGGGCCCATGGGGGCTCTCTGGGAATCCAGCCAGGGGGAGCCTCTGAGCCCTGCCCTGAGGATGAGCAGACCTCTCCCTGAGGAAGTGGGGTCCGTCAGTCCGATGGGTGGGTACCCCCCGGTTCTAGCTGACATGGTAGAGCCTCAGCACCCTGTTAAGGGCTTGACCTACGATGGAAAGCCTCTCCGTGATCCTGTGCGGCGGGGACAGTCGCTGTTCCCAGTTTGCAGATGTGGAGACAGGTCCAGTCCTGGCTCCAGGTCACACAGGGAGAGAGCAGCCCAGGGAACAGATGCTCAACCCAGGCCCTTCGCCCTAGAGGCTGTGCCCACTGTCCCTTGCCCTGAGGGGGCAGGCATCGTGGCTGATCTAGCTCCGTGCCAGGGGAGGTTGCTGCAATCAGGCTGACTGGTGTCATAGCATACCCTCCTCCCTGCCCCCCATCCCCAAGAGCCCAGTGGACTGGCTGGCTGGGACAGAGACGTCCCAGTGCCCACTCCCGGCCTCCTGCCAGATCCTTACACCGGGGGACTGGCCACTTCCTGAGATGATTCTCTGGAGTGCGTTCTCAGCCATGCCACGCCATGCCCTTGCTGTGGCAATGCCAATGGCAATGCCTTGTTGCCTCGCTTCAGCATGAGGATGCTCTCTGGCTGGCCCACACGGGTCCCCGCCCTGCTCTGGTGCACGGTTCTAGAGAGTCCCCAGCCTCCTGAGAAAGATGGCGCTGTGCTGTGAGACCTCGAATGAGTGCCGTGAAGTCGGTCTCAGGTGCAGGGTGAACACCGCTCGCACCGCCCCCTCCCCACCCCAGGTGCGATGCCCTCCCAGCTCTACCTCCCCTGCTGCCCCAGGAAGTGTTGTTGAGAGATGTGGGGAAGAAAAAGAGCCCTGGCCTGCTGAGCTTAGGGACAGCCCCTGGGTGACCCTCTGGGCTGCACCCTGACCTCTGACCTTGCTATGCCTAGAGACAGCATGCAGGGGCCACCGGAAGGTGGGCGGGATCACCCCTGGCCCAGATGTCCAGTGGGAGGCAGGAGGTGTCAAGGCCCAAGCTGGGAACAGAGTGTGACTTCTGTTGTCTGTTACCTCGTTTCACCTGTCCTCCCGTGGAAGGGCCTGTCCTCCACCCACGTCCACTCTCAGAGAGCGCATCCTGCCCTGGCTTTAAGTTCCACCTAATCGCCCATGGCTCGCACACTGCTGTCCCTGGCCAACCCCGTCTCTCTCTGGACCGCAGACTCGGACGTCTGCCTGCTCGTGCAATGCCCCCACATGGGTGCCCGACAGGCCCAACCTGACCTCCGGGCCATCTTCCCACCCAAGAGTCCCTCCCCACAGGGGTTTCGCTGCCTCAGGGAAGGGAACGTCTGTTCTTGCAGGTGGTCCAGATACAACCCTGGAAGTCAGCCTTTACTTCTCTCGATCTTTCTACAGCGACAACCTGTGGGCTTTGATTCCCCAAGAGTTCACCCGCCTCCACCACCATCACGGGCGGGTCTCAGGTAAGGCTGCAGCCGCCTCCCTCGGCTCCCTCGGGCTGCCTTTGCCGCTCAGAGCTGGTCTCCATCCAGCCGCAGGGAGACCCCTCTAAAATGCAAACCAGACATGCCCCTCCTCCAGAGCCCCTGGGCGCCCACCTCGGCAGAGTGAAAGCCAAGTCCTATGACTCCCGTTTTCTCTCTGGGCCCCTCATTCTCCCTCTGGTCTCCTCTGCCCCCACCACTTGGCCCTTTTGCAGCGCCTGGGCCTCAGGCTCTTCGTTCCCAGGCAGCTGGGGTGGCTCCCGCTCTCTCTAGGCCTTGCTCTTCCTGCACGGTGGTCCGGTGACCAGGCCCTTCTGTGAAAAACCGACCACCCGTCTCCTTTCCCCGCTTTGTTCTCCTCCCTAGCACCTGTCATCTGTGAGGGCCTTCAATGGGCTCCTGGGAACTGGGAGCCCAAAGATCCTGCAATGTTTCCACGGACTTTTTGAAGCCGTCTGGTTTCTAAGAAACATCAACAACCCCAAACCACTGCCACTGAGCCGGTGCCGGCTCATAGCGGCCCAGCAGGACAGGGCAGAGCTGTCCCTTAGGGCTGCTCAGACTGTCCATCCTGACAGGAGCAGCCAGCCTCGTCTTTCTCCTTCAAGTGGCCAATGCGTCCCTGCTTTTCTTCACCAGCAGCTGAGGGAGGCGGCCTGGACTTCACGCTGCCCTGCAGCCGAGCTGGGTGACCTTCTTTGTGGCCTGTCTCTCCGACCAGGGTGAGCAGACGTGGCTCCGCTCACCGCTGTGGCCCCAGTGGCTTGTACAGAGTGACCAGTCGCCTGCTAGTCCTGACTCACGGCCGCCGGGAGCGTCCGGGCAGGCGCTGCTCCGTCGGGTGCACAATGGCTGGTTCCTTTGGAAGTGGATTGTCAGGCCTCTCTTCTGAGGTGAGTGTGTTAAAGGTTTATGCCCCTCAGCGACGCCTTTGCACATAGTAGGGGCTCAATAAACATCCCTTGTGTGCATCAAGGAGACTGGGAAATTCAAAGGCACGATTGGACGCCCTCCACTGACTGTCCCTGCCTGCTGCTGCCCGAGGTCTTTCTAAGTCAGGGCAGGTCCAGTTCTAGCCGTATTGCCTGGTTCCAGAGCCTGCCGGCTCAGCTGGCCTCCTCCCCGCATCTCTCAGCAGGCTCTGGCCACCAGGTGCATCCTGAGCAGGCCTCTGGGTTCATCCTCCCTCCCTCCCGAGCTTGCATCAAACGTCAACCCTTCTGAGCAGTCTTCCCTGGCTTCTCGCCATCCAAGCCGCCTCTCTCTTTTTCTTTGGGGCCCACGCGGTCTACTTGCGGCAGGCCCTGCTTCCTGGCCGGCTCACCTTGAGCGGTCTGCTTTCCTCTCCCTCCAAGGGCTCTGCGGGGCCCAGGGACGCCGCCTCCTCTGACCTCTGCTGCAGGGATTTCTTGTGGCCTCGGTCTCGCTCCTGCTCCTGGGGGCGCCGCATAAAACCAAACACAACCCAGAGAAAACACAGCCAAACGTCACAACACAAAGCGAGGTCCACACCGTTGACTTCGCCCCACGGCGACCCCGGCGTCCCTGAGGGGGACTGAGCCCCGTGGTGTTTCCTTGGCTGTAGTCTTTGTGCACGATTGCCAGGCCCCCCCGCTGGGTGGGCTCCGATCACCAGTCACCAGGCACAAACCGATGGAACACCCCAAAACCCTCCTGCCCGCAACTGGCCCAGTTGGCTGGCCTATTTTCAATGGAGGTGCCAACCGGTGTGAGCATCCCACAGACCCCGAGAGAAAAGAGCCCCTCCTCCCAGGTGCCTGCTCCCTGGGGACACCCAGACTCCTGGGGGCTTAAAGTGGCCCTGCCTGGTGCTCACCAAGAGGCCCAACTTGACGAAGAATCGGTTTCTCTGTAGTTAACACATTGTGCCCAGATTATTATGGTTAATTAAGTTAAAATGCTGAAAATAATGGCCGCCCTTCATGCATATAAAGTATGAAAATGTGTTTTTCTTAGCAGAGAGAGCCTATAAAAAAGGTGGTAAGACAGCCTAGCCGGTGAGGGCGCCGTGGGGTGGCCCGGGAACTTGGAGTCCCTGGGAGGTGATTTATAAGAGGCGAGACAGGGAGATGAATTATGTCGGAGGGAGTCTGCAGCTTCTCCATGCAAATCCCGGGGCCTGGCAACTACAAGGGGAAGGCATGGAGCAGATGGGCGCAAGGTGCCCTTGGCTGCCACGCTGCCCTTTGCGTTCTGCTGGGCCGGACCGTTGCTGTCCAGACCCCCCTCTGGCCTGGCATCCTGCGTGCCCGCTCTCCTCCCCTCCAATGCACCCACTTCCTTTGGCTCCTCTAATGACGCAGCCTTGATCTACAGTGATTGTAGAACAGTCGGCCATCTCTTTGGAAGAGTGTAGGCATCGCTCCTATCTGCTTGCCTTCCTACATCCGAATGGGAGCTGGGTTCAACCTGGTCTCTGCAGAGGACCCTGTCTCCCGAGTGCCCAGAGCCTTCCCTGTACACAGAGTGGGCATGTATGGACAGGCTCTACCCCGGGGCCATGAGAACCTCCCACCAGGCCAGTTTCAAGCGGCTGTTCCTATTGAAGCCTTGCTCTCGGGCAGGGTGGCCACGAGAGGCCATGTCCTCCTCTGCCTTGAGCTGAAGAGAACCCAGTGGCTGCACGCAGTCCAAACTCACCACTGTCGAGTGGATTCAGGCTCACAGTGACCCTGCAGGACAGGGTACAACCGCCCTGTGGGTTTCCGAGACTGTAACTCTGTACAGGAGCAGCAGCCTCGTCTCTCTGTAGTGGAGAGGCTCGTGGTTTCAAACTGCTGACCTCACGGTGAGCAGCCCAAGGCTCAGCCTCCTGGGCCATCTGGGCTCCTAGTGTCTCACACACACACACATACACACACACACTCAGAA